GCAGGGGGGGAGCTAGAGGTTTCCAAGACTTTTTCGCTCCCCCCAGACTTGGTTGAAAAGTTCGCAGGTAATTAACTCATTCAACCACTTTGATTTTGTAAATACGTAGGTATGCAGAAAAACTGTCTAATGGGAGTTTTCACGGCTTGTGAACGAGCCTGGATCAGTATCGATAATGAGCTGTTTATGTGGAGTTATGAGGATGGGTGAGTTTCGGAATCCTGAACTCCCGTTAAAACGGAAATGTTCATTTAGAGAGGACCTGGCTTATTACGATGGTATCAACGATACAATCATTGCTGTTGAATTGGCAGTACCTCGACCAGGTTTGTTCACTAATTTTATATCCCACTGTGACAACAGGCGTTCTGCCAAATGGAATATCCTTTCTGTTGTGTATTGCCACTCCTTTGGAAGTTATCATTTTGGGTGCTACATATGCGCAACCTGTCCAGGAATCCTACAGAGATGCACACGGAGTTATTCAGGTTTTACCGGAGCCCCTTTATTGTCTTCCGACTGATAACCTGACTATGTCGTGCATCAAAAGTACAGAATATGGAAGGTGAGAAGTTTCGATCTGTATGTTTTAACTATTTTAAATTGTGAACCAAATGTCTCCCCCTCGGAGGTCCTTAAGTCCGATCTGTGTACTTACTTAGTAGTTGCATGGCTCAAGTGGTACACTAAATTAAGATACCCGAATGGTCAGTAACTAAACGCAAAGACACGTCACTGGGCTGTGTTGATAACTGGATTCGTCAGCACATCGTACAGCGAGATACAGTGAAGCGAACTTCTCTGACCACTGCCAAACTCGCAATGTATACAAGGCTAGTGGTAAAATTTAAGGTGGACAGGGATTGTTCAGTGTACGGACGGAGAAACCTCGTTGGCTTGTAGCTTTGCCTGATGTATACGGTGAAGTCTGATGTTCGGAAATTTCTGTTTTAGATTCGTTTATTCTTTTAATCTGAAAGTGTAAGCAAAAGGAGATTAGTAGGTTACTCTTTGACGATGTTGCAGATTAATTACTTGTAGTCAATTTGCGGGACCGATTTGCACGCCTTACGAGATGTGATGCATGGACAGTCCAGAGTTCCACTGAACATTACTTCGAGGGTACTCTAGGTTGCTGTCCACCACCGAGGTGAGGCCCACGGCGAATCTATCTAATCTGTTTGAAACACGCTGTCGTAGGCGCAGAGACCACTACCTCGGGTAATGAGTTCCAAGCGGATGTGGCCTCGATGGAGAAATGTCACCGTATGCCATTAGGACTACTCTGCTGGTGCAAGATGGCCTTAGAGTACCCTCGCAGTTGCGGCGATAGTGCTATTAGTTCGCTGTTCGGGTGACTCTGAGTTACTACTTTTTTGTGTATCAATATTAAGTCCCCTCTCAGCTTCCTGTAGGAAAGGATGAAGAGCTTGAGCCGCTTAGGTCTGTCTTCGTAGCTTAATTGTGATAGCCCGACGACTTGCTTAGTGGCTATTCTCTGAACCGCTTCCAGTGCTTTATTAATTCCAACTAAAGTTGGGGGCACTTGAATATTATATTCAAGTTGAGGTCTTAAGTAGATTCTATATAAAATTCTGAAGCACTCGGACTCCAGTCTTCCCAGGTTCCGGTTTATTAGGCTCTGAACTAGGCTGCCTCGTTTCACTAGCCTAACGCAGTTTTGTGAGAAGTTTGGTTGATTCGACAGAACGGACCCTAGATCTGTTTCCTGTTCAACTATCATCAGTTTCTCCCCTGACATGTATTACATGACATTGACTGGTTCAATGGGAGACCATTTTCGGTTCCCCATCGTCCGATCGCATCCAGGTTGCGTTAGAGGATTACTTTGTCCTCCTCTTTTCTGATACTGCGTCAGGTCTTGACGCCATCCGCGTACGGGAGACACTTAGTTGTTAATAGTCCCTCCAAGTCGTTGATAAGGAGTGTTAAGAGCAAGGGACGTAGTACAGATCCCTGTGCTACTCCATTTAGGACTAGATGGTGGCTTGAAAGCTCCCTGTTGACCCTCACCTGATAACTACGATCAGTTAAGTAGTCCTTCAGCCAGCGTAGTGATCTTCCCGTTATGCCACAATGAGTTTATTGCATAATTTTCGATGTGGTACCTTGCCGAAGGCCTTGGAGAAATATACCACCCTCGCTATCCTCCACCTACGTTGAGGGAGGGAGAAAGTGGACCTCTATGGTCAAAACAGAGTGCACAATCCGACTCTGCATACATACCGTTTCAAGCATTCTGGCCTGATAAGGAATGGCAAGAACACTACTGCTGTCGGTTAGTTGCCCTATCCGTTAATGTCTCCAACCAACCAGTTGCGGAGTTTTTCGAACCCCAACCTGGAAGGCGCGAAACATCTACTCTACCTAATCGCTCTGTGCATTTCTTCATGCCTCGCCTTCACGTCGTCTGTTGACTTCCACGTGGTTTCCTCCTTCCCGGAGCGGTTACGGCGAATAAAGCGCGATGTGGTAAACGGTAACTGTGCATACACAATACGTGCTCTAGCCGGCAAAGTTTACTAATTTGAATTCGATGTGCTACCAGGTTTATCCCTGATAAACTTCCGAACGCATGGCTGCTTACCTCCAGATGAATAACCCGTTCGCTTCATCCCACATGGGCTAAACTACGTAAACACCGATAGTCGATGAGTATCTTTTGCTCGCAAATTCAACCATAAAGCAGAACTGAACGAACAGTGGCACAATATACACAACATTTCAACTTCAGTGAAATGTCGCGTCTACGCCAAAGGTGTTTCAGTCCTGCATATGCTGCTTGAGTCTTGGAAATGCGAGCGGCTATCTCCTTTGCTGCGCTTCCATCATTGGTCACGCAGCTACTTAAGTACGAAAGTGATCAGTATAATTAATTCTGGGCCATTTAGTTTCAAAGCGGGAGTAGGCAACATCCAGTCCTGCATCATCACTTAGCACTTTGAGGGTGCAAAGCACATACCGAATGTGGCAACCGCACTTGTTAGTCTATCACGTGCGTTTTGCGCGTCCTGCGTACATTCGAACAGACAGACGATGTCATCTGCGTACTCCAAATAGCACAGCTTTTCTCCAGCTGCCCATTCAATATATACGTTTTGGAGACTACGAAGTGCGTTCTCCAGTATTTCGTCTACGATGTAATTGAACAGGAATGGTGAAAGAGAACATCCTTGACGAACGCCACTGTTGATGACGAACGGCCTGCTTAGTTCGTTGTAAACCCTTAATCGACCAGAGGTATGTGAGTACAATGACCTCAGTAAGTTAGCGTACTTCTCATCATCATCATCGCACAGCCAGATACAGTGAGGCGAACTTCGCTGATCGCTGCCAAGCTCACGATGTACACAAATCAAATGACAAAGCACAAGATGGAGACGGATGGAGCCTAATTGGAGGGAGGCAAAGAAAAAGAATCTGTCGTCAACAAACAGAGTACACAATCTAAGTGTGCATACACACCTTTATAAGCATTCTGGCCTGATAAGAAATGACAACAAGAGCG